GTTAGGAGATAAGATGATCTACAGTAAGTTTCTAACTCTCCAATCTATATAATAATATATGGAATTTTACTGTTCAGAGGGTCCAACTAGTCAAAGGGAGTCTCAATCAAGGGCTACATATAGCTTCGGTCAGGGTCTTGGAATATAATTTTTGGTCGGGTTTTCCTGAGGGGAGATTTTATGTTATAGTATATCAGACCATAATATAAAGGATTCGCTATATTAGCTCAGTCGGCAAACTGGTGGTAGCCAATGTGTGTGCACTGAATCATGGAGATCTTTTGGTCCCCGGTTCAATTCCCATCATTGCTGTCTCTTTGTATTTCAGCTGGAGAATTGAAATACAAGGTATGACAGTGCACCATCTTTCGGATGAGAAGTTTAAACCATTGGTCCCGTGTGCATTATGATCCATGTGCATGTTAAAGAATGGAGTATATTCTTCAAAAAAGAATAGGGGATTATTTCCCGGCGTACTGCTCAATCACCACCAGAAGGACCCAGAAGGACCCTGCAGGAAATAAGTCTTCTTCAGACTTTCGTGGAATTATCCTTGGTGTTCTTTTACTGAATAAATCCATCAACCCAGGTGACCAGAGGTTCATATGCTTGTCCACCAGTATGAGACAATTTACGCGACTAGCGCCACCATTGTACTCGGTTAATCTAAAGCTCCGTCCACACTGTCAAATTGTGTGTGACAATTTTTGTGATGTACCCTTATATGGGCATGAATGATGATGTCATATTCTACCCAAATATGGGCATATCACATGTAGCGTCACCAGGATTTGTCCATTTGGGTGGAAGTCCAACACATAACCACATGACCTATTTCCTATTATTGTGGTTTAAGATACCTGCTTACAGTATTGCCCCAAAATATTTAACATGGTGTTTCCCTTAAAAATGGAAATATTAACTGAAATTTTACTACTTGGTCTATGAGATTCTAATTTAGCAGAACCATCTGTTTGATCCTTTCATTCATTAAATTATTAATTGAAACAAATATTAATAACAGGCACTTTGCTACTAAAAGAACGTTCACATCAGAAATCAGGCTTCTCTCGCGTACAACAAGTTCTTTCTGTTTCATAATTAGCACATGGAGGCGTCTAGTTGAAATTATTGTTTATTATTGACTAACTTTTTAATAGAAAGAATAACAATATTGTCTTGCCTTTCTAGCCTCGCCCCCACCTCATGCACAAATTATGAATACTAGCTTTTGTATTAGACTTTTCATACGTAATAATAATAATAATAAATTTAGCCACTGAAAATATATCAGTTATTGGCGGCCATTGACTAGGAAATCTAGTTGGCATATTACATCTCATGATATTCTTATGTTATAGTCTCAGTTATTGTGTAAAAATAAAAATAAAAAATTAAAAATTTAATAGTCTGGACAGGGCTTAACAAAAATACAATATATCTGTAAATTTCTTCCATAGTGTGAATACAGATTACTGTATGTAAAGACGCCATGATCAGGGGCGGATCCAGAGATGTCCGAAAATGGGGAGGGGTGGAATGTGGGATCGATTGAGATAACTCTTCCCTAGGGGGTCCCTGGGCATTCCCCGTGAAATTGTTGTGTTGTAGATGCCTGAAAATAATCTGAGGCATTTTGGGTGATTAATTTTTTCCTTTTCTTTCTTTCTTTTTTTTTCTTTTTTCACTTTCCAAAAGGGGGAAGGAGGCCAGGGCCAGTCCGGGTCCCCCTAAATTCACCCCTGATGATTGTTTGTGTTGCTCAGTGCAATAACCTATGAAAAATGTTTTCCTGACTAGCTCTGTCCATTTTTTTTTTGACAAAAACTGTTGTATGCCTATGTATAGTCATTATGTGCCTATATATGATCATGATGTGATGTCATCATAACCATATTAGGCATATGTCACATGTTTTTGTCAAATAGAATTTGATACAAATGCATCAGAGAGGCATTAAATAAATGTTGATTTTATTTCTATATTTACATATTGTACTAATATTTAGTTTAGTAGATACTATCATATTTATCATCCAGAGGCGGTTTGGCGCAGTGAAAACGATTTGGTTTCCCAAACTCGAGGTTGGGGTTTCAATCCTTCACTCTACATTTTCATTTGTATCCTTGAGTAATGCACTTTATCTACCGTACATTGAAGTCTACCCAGCTGGTATCAGTTGGATACCAGCAAATGGCTGGGAGTAACCTGCAGTGGACAGGCATCCCACCTAGGGGGAGCATCACATGCTCATCCGTTTCGAGCTACTTGATACTGGGGATTAGCTCAAGCCCTATGGGCCCTAGTAGCCTAGTATCTTAGCAAGGATTTACCTTATCATCTATATTTAAATTGAAATTAAAGCAAGTGTCTGTACTGAATAATCTACCTCAATTTATTTTTTTTTAAATCATAAAATTGGATTAAAATCCTTGAATTAATATCAAGCTAAATCGATAAACACCAGAGTTAATTCATGTATAAAATTTATGGTGTTTTCATTTATCTCATTAAAATTCATAAAATTAGGATGAAATCCTTGTGCTAAATATTAAACACGAGATTTGAAATAACTGAAAACAAATATTATATAATTTCATATTTCTGACAAGTCCACGGCAAGGGTGAAGTGCCGTGTAAGTGTGTTTTTTAATGCATATCCGAGTAATGAATCAAAAATCAGTGATGCTGAGGACAGATGCGAGTGCTGATGGATATTATGGATATTATTACCATACAGCCAGTACAGTGACAGGCAATTTGTAAAGATAAATGTTTAACACTGCAGATTATTGATGATAATCTCATGAATTTGATGGCAAAATAGGCAGTGGACATTTAACTGGTAAAAAATGCCTGTTTGTTTACACAACATTTGCGACGGGCTCTGGAAAAACCAGCTGTTTGTAGGAAAAATTCAAATTTTTTGGTGTTTTTAGATTCTACATGAATTCATTTTTACAACAGTGTTTATTTGATAGAAATTAGTTGAGTATTAGCAGAGTTATGAATATTTTATTCATTCGATATTAGCCATTAGCTTCTAAAGATTCCAAAATCAGTTGTTTATGTTGTTAAGATTGGATAATTTTAATATACTTTTCAGTTCAGATATAGTGATTGATATTTTGCAGAATTGTTCATAAATATTCGGTATATTCTTTTATAAAATGCAAAAACATGAAAATGTTCAAAATTCTGATTCCAAAACTTTTTGGGTCCTTGTAAGAAATTAGAAATTGTGACAAACGGCATGTTTTGCCAGACACTCACATTTTTGTGCATTTCAACTGTAACTAAAATATAGGCAAGTTTGAGTTAATTGTATTTAAGCTTCAGTTTTGAGCTAAAAACTTGCAATATATATGTGGAGTGTAGTTACTATCGATTGTAGTTACGAGTCAAATGGTCCAGCAGTAAAGGCAAGGGCGCTGCAACGTACAATACTACCAAAATATTGGCATGGGTTTGAACGGCGCGCTCGCCTATGGTTCTGGTGGTGGAGCAAGTGTTCTTGGATAAGGACTATAAACCCTAGGCTTTAGTGATACACAATTTGGCTCATGTTAACGTTAAAGAACCCAGTGCATCTTTTGAGACAAGTAGGGTGTTATCCCAGTTTACTTCTCCATACAGCCCCTGTAGCTGGTTATTGGTTTACTCGGTTGCCTAGACATGAAGAAACACTGAGCCACTTAGGGGAAAGCAAGTTACTTCAGCACACCTTGAGACTTCAGTATAAAGCACTATATAAGTCTAACTATACTACATTATTGTATATGTTTGTTCACATTCTTTAATTGAAAATTAGAAGTGAAAAATTTTCCTTGCCTGTTAACAAAACCATAAAAAAAATTTTCCTATAATTTTTTTATAATACCAATAAATTGGCTGGTAAACAATATAGGAATCAACAGAAAGATTTATTTTTATCTGTGTGGAATATTAGGATATTTGATTTTTGTTTAAATTGTCCATATCTTTTTGATGACAAGATTGTATATTTTCTACTCGGCTTCATTAAACTATGAGTCTCAGTGAAAGAGCTTGATTTTTCAAGACCTAAAGCTAAAAAAAATAAGCTGTTGTTTGCCGATATATATAGTCATGATGTCCCTATATATGGGCATGATGCAATGTCATCCATTTTTTTGGCAAATGATCAGCTCTTGCATCTGTTGCATCATTCATACTAAAATGGTTCCTTCCATAAGAGTTGGATGAGATAAAAGTACCACCCAACAAAATATAAAAGTACCACCCTGTATATTTACTATTAACTGATTAATCAATCGTTTAATTATTCATAGGGTTTTCATAAATTCAGCACCTGACCTGTTTGATTCTGTACAATCTATCATGTCCGTTAATACACCAGGAAGAAGAATGACAAAAAACCTTTGCCCAAAGGATATGAGAATATGTAGAGCATGGCCAGCATCATTTGTCTTGTGAAAGTGATTGCCAGTTATTATGACAGTGATTAAAGTCAAACAGTACCACAACTTGGGTGCAGCGACCATAAATTAAAGATCACGTTCCACATGACTGCCATCACTAGAATGAACTATCAGGAAAACTGGAGTTTTCATGCTGGATAATTGTTTAATTTTTGTGTTGGGTTTATTTGGTTTTTTTTAAAAATTTATTTATTTATTTTTTTGTATTTGTAATATGCAGATTATTTTTTTTGTTACAATATATCTTATCTGTTTTTCTACATGTCTTATTGCCAGGTTTTCATCCATTTTAACATTTTTATTGATTATAAAAATAATATACAGTAATTTCTTTTTACTGTACTTTAATATTCTGTACTGTTGTAATTGTAATTTGCAATTTGGCCTTTGGCCACGATAAATTCCAAATGAGTTCCTTTTTTCTTTTGAATATATAAAGTGTTACTGCTATGTAAATTGTGTGTTCGATAAAAAATATAAAATATATATATATATATTACGAACTAATTGCAGTGATATAATTTCTTTTTTTTTCTATAGGGATGGTTGAATGAACTCCCCTATGAATACAATGCAGATACGTACCATATACAACAGACGCATTCGGTTTATTTACGACTTGATGGAACCGTTCTTCGTTTGCTACAGCCAAAGGTTAACGTTCCAAAGAGGGCCATGTGGGACGAAGCACTACAAAAGCCGGAATTTATACATCAACGTCATTTTGATCTTCGCGGAAGCAAAGTTTATCTTCTTCCCCAAGGATTAGTGTCAAAGCGGACATGGAGTAAGAAATACCCGATTTGTATCGAATTTGAGAAAAAGGACACGGACGTACAGCTTAAAGATGTTAAAGTCGAGGATGAAAAAGTGGAGCAGGAAGTTATGTCAGATTTACAAGGGTACGATTTCATCAGGAAGGGTGAGTTTAACCCCAACATTATTTATTTGTTTGCAAGAACTGGCCGTGAGAAGGAGGAATGGTTTTGGAAATTTGAGACTGCTTCAAAATACAAGAAGATACGTGGTAAGAAACCAATACAGACTCTAAATAGATCGGTTTACCTTCGTGGAAATGAGTATACAAAGGATGACGGCACCAGACATCTACACCGCTTGGATCCTGACGATATTTCCAGTCGGAAAGGAGCCATGGATTTTTACAAGTACATCTCCAAAATCTTACCCAAGGAGAAAGAAAATGCACCGCAGTCAGTTAACGTGAAGTCCAGTGGAGTAACGTACGGTTCATCAACAAGGTCAAATTCCGCCTCAAGTAAACTAAGCCCAGATGGTGGGTTGACCGAGTCGCCAGTGTCTTGGGTTAATGCTCTTTTGGGACGTTTTTTCTGGGATTTTCTTCGGGAAGAGTATTCTAAAGACTGGGTGAAAAATAAGTTGCAGAAAAAGCTGAGTAAAATCAGGGTAAAGTATCTTCAACTTTAAAAGTTTCAAATTTTCTTTGACAAAAAAACTTAAATCTTAAGATTCTAAATTACAAAAACATTTCAATTTTGTATTATTAACAAGAATTGTACAGTATCATCAGATTTGATATTTCCATTTTTATAAATTTCAGAAGTTAATTTAACAATGTTTTAAAATTTCTTTCTGTAGGCCTACTATCGATATTTTGTACTGTTTGTATTTTTGATTTACTTTTGAACAAGAAAAAAAGAATATCAATGCATGTTTATATTGACGTAAAAGACAATAATAAAATTGTTAATATTTACCTAAATGCAGGTTTGTTAAAAAGGTTATGGAAAGCACAGTCATAATCTTTTATTTTTATTTATTTATTTCTTTGATTGAAATAATCGTGTGTGACCTTTCCAACTAAGTCTGTGAGATCATGATGATATTCAGGGATCTTCTTAAATAATTTAAAATATTGCTATGCTATATAATTGGTTTCATTATGAGGCTTAATAGGAGTAAGCTGATATTTAGATTTAAAAAAATCCCTTTAATCCAGAAGGATCAACTTTGCCACCATGTTACAATTTCGCAGCCAGTGGTAGGTAGAGTAGTCTGGTTGGTGTGAATTTTTTCTGTCAGACATGCTTGGACCAGTGCCATCTAAGGCCACTTGAGGTCATCAGACTAAAGTTCTGTATACACTCTATCAAATTTTCTCTGACAAAAAACTTTTGCCCATATATAGTCATGATCTGCCTATATATGGTCGTGATCTGATGTCATCATTACCATATTTAGGCATGTCACATGTTTTTGTCAAATAATGATAATCTGGACGGAGCATACAGTAAATTAATTTGTTGATCCAATGAAATTATTGTATTTAGTTTTATAGTTTCAAAATATTGTGGTCTGTAAGCACAATTTTAACCATTTTAAACACAATAATAAGTGGCAAGAGGGCACTTATTCTCACTAGTGGTTTGTATCCCTGCAACCTGATCAGGGACATTGGGCGGATCAAGGAATTTGAAATAGAAGGGTCCCAGGGAAGGACTTTTTATAGGTACTGTAGAGGATCTGGCCACCTCAGTCTCACCATGGTTTGGGCCGAGGTAAGAAAATTTATGATGATAGCATCTGCAGATTCCCAGAATTGCCCTCTCTGACTAAAATTTTAATATGATTTTCTTTTTTTCTCATTTTGAAAGATATTGGGGGGGGGGCCTGGCTGGCTGGCCCTCTTTAACCTATCACTGAGGGGCCTTAGGTTTTCATTCTGTTTTTTAATTCTTTGTTTTTGGATCTCTTGTGGCCAAGTTTATGAAGCCATCACTGGCCTTTGTAAGTTTTACTACCAATTGATTATCAGCCAGCCATTGTTAAATAAAATTACCACAATGAATTTCTGTTCTAACAATTTGATGTAAGAACAAAAAGCGCAACTGCATAGCCACTCAGAAAATAAATGAAAAGCACCCAACAATTTCATTTCACTTCAATTATTATCAGTTTTTGATGTAATTCCTGTAGGTTCCACGTTTCATAGATGAGCTCACAATTACAGACATCGACCTTGGCCTAAATAGCCCGATGTTAAGACGGATGTCGCGTCCCCAGATTGATGAGAGGGGAGTATGGGTAGACTTGGACATCGCCTATAGTGGGTCATGCTGTATGACTTTAGAGACCAAGGTAAATTTATGGAGGCTAAAGAAGGGAGCGTCTTTAGAGAGAGAACTAGAAGAGATTTCACCTGGCATGAGGAAGATGAGTCAAACAAGAGAAAGGTAAGAATCTAAAAAATCAAGGTAATATACCAAAGAGTGTAGCTTTGTTATACTTCAATTGTACAATCATGGCTTCAATTTGAATAATTTTCAAGCCTAATTAATTCATAAATAGCACATATACCATACTGTATTTACAGTATATGCTATTTGGTGTGGTTTACTACTTCTCTGCAAAGTTTCATTTGCAGAATTTGTTTCATTTCTTTTTATAGTTACTATTCTTTCTCATTAAAATTTGATCTGAATTTGTATTTTTACCCTATAATTATAATTCTACTGTAGTTTTCAGTGTGTAAGTTTAATGCTGTAACTTAATTCTGTAAGTTGCAGGTTTCCTGCTGTTGGATGAGAGTTTTAATAAATAAATAAAGTTAAAAATGAATTAAATAAGAGTTGGCTTTGCATAAGGAATCAAACCCAGCATAAAATATCCTGTCAAACAAGAAAAGCCTTTGGGGACATCTGGATTTGCAGATGGTAAAGGACGTTCATCATAATAGCATGAACAACAGAGCTACATACACCTTACAGCGACACACTATAGACATGATTACTGTTTGTTCACAACAATCATACTGTACATTTATACGTTTCCATTCATTTAAATTTGGTCTATAATTATTAACATTGTTCATTGATTATGTTCTCACTTAATAAACTATATATTCTGTATTTAAGAGATTTTGGAAATTGTGAAAGGTCTCAATTCGATGTCGAATTATGAAATGTGATAGGCTCGGCAACTTGACCTTATTGATTAGCGCCCAAAATTTATTACAATCACGTAAAATATAATAATGAGCTACTATCCTCATTACAACTTTTTATACATAATTGTACGCCGTTCTCTTTGTTATTCTTCATTCTTCCTATTTCTTCTTGTAAATTAAATGTACAATAATTAATTATATACACTGTACTCTAATACTGTTTATATTTACATGGTTACTTCATTTTAATATTAATATACATTAATTTATAATAACAATTTTAACGTAAATTAAACTTATAGGTAAAATTAATTAAACATGAACATAGTGTTCCTTACATTAAAAAGATTAAAGCAGTTCAATCTTCTAATCATTTTGTATAGCCGGAGTTAGTTTTAATGTGGGAACCCTTCCTAAAAAGGAGGTACACTTTCTCAATCAAAAAGACTTCTTTTACAAATGGTTCGAACAAGGCAATTCAACAGAAGGACACACATCTCGGGACATCAAAAGTTATAACTCTGGCATCGACATTCTATACGCACGTGCGTCCCTACACGCTGAACGTCACAAAAACCATAGCAACCAGACCATAAACCGTCAGCGTGCGTGACGAATTACCCACGCGCGTGTTAGTTGCCATGATAATCGCGCGTCGTGCGGTGATTACAAAGGCATAATGATATTTGCACTAACATTAGACTGAAATTATATTCTTCATTTCAACATTAATTTTACCGATATTGTGGTGTATTGTTGTTCATGACTCACTTCGCAGAAAAAAATTAATAAATGTTCCGTATCTACTAAAATGTTCGTTTTGTGCACCTTAGTCCAACATTGTCAAAATGACAGTTTAATGTTACATAAGAACATGAAATTTTATAAAATTTGTAAATTTTAAATTGCTATAACTTTTCATTTTCTTGGTCAATTTTCACAAATCAAATTGCAGTTTATAGAAGCATTTAACAAGCTCTCGGTCAAAAGAAATCAGATGTAACAGACATTGCGAAGTACCCAAAATTAATAAAATAGTAACTAACACCATAAAACGTATGGCACGCATAGACTAATAATTGATGGCTGTACTCGCAACCGGTATCGGATTGTCGATGCCACAGTAAAGATCAAAGGATTACGCACACGCTATGTTCGAGAGCGGAGATGTGCGTCCTTCCGTTGAATTACCTTGGTTCGAAGCACGAACGTCTCCAAACCCAGTTCCATTAAACGATTTTAATCGTTGAGGAAATTTACTCATGATACTATACCAAATTCCACATGTATGACAACTTATTTTTGATTTATGTTAAATAGAACATATTGATTCTACATTGCTATACATTTAAATTATCAACCAGTGAATTGAAAAAAGCTGAATTAATTAAGTTCCCTTGTTAATAATTAGGCCTGATGAAAAAGGACAAAGCGCATATACTATGGGCCCTCCCTAAAGAGACTGACTAGGTCTAGTCCGGCAGTAACTCGGTATTGCTATGCAAATTAGGCCATCATTACATAGGTCTGATTACACTATTCCAAGCACATAATAATTGTATTTTATTTTATTTTCAACATGTAATGTACACGTATTATGCATACATGAGAAATTCCATCATTTCCTTTCATCAGGTCAGAATGGAGCGGCACCCTGGTGGTTAATTTATAAAAAGGTTGGCTGAACGAAATGCAATGTTGTTGTGCCAATTTTCCAGTGCTATCTAGTTAGCTGAAACACATGCAATTTTCATAGGTTTTGTGTTCCTTTCAATTTGTATTGATTCATATTACGTACATTTCATAGATGAATACTTGTTAATATTCCATCCATTTTTCTTTTGAAATATAATGATAACCTTTACTGTCTAATATCCTCTTTTACACTAATTAATCCTTTCACTGCATCTTGCCTGACCCTCAAAGGAACTGCCAAAATATGTAAACAAAGGGTCTATTGTTTCCTTTTTAACCTTTTTTCTTTCCTATAGATTTTATGTTGTTTTCTTTGTTTAATTTTATTTTTGATTGCATCTGTTTCTTTGAAAAGCTCTAGAATTTCTGTCAAGAAAAATTCTTACAACACATTGGACGATGACAGGTAGAACGAGACAATCATTCATTTAAACCTACCATGATGCATTCAATCGGTCCGTTTCACATACTTTATTTAGTCATAATCCTTCAGAGTACATACCACCATGATAAACACGATGCATTCATTCCATCAATCACAGAGTCAGTCCAGTCAAGCATACACACTGTGCATCTTCCATCAGAATACATTTCAATTCAATCTATACATTTTGTTTTATATTTCTTTCATAGCTTTTACAAAAAATTGTCTTCTATGCAAATTTACATATGTTTTCAATCTTTATTCATTTTGTTATTATTCAGTTCATTAGTTTATTCATTCATCAATCCATTCATTCATTCATATATTTGGTATATTTTATACATTAATTCACATCCTATCAATCCTTTATTCATTATGTTTCATTCATTCATTCTGTCATTCATTTACTAAAGTACTTTTCAGCTTTTTAGCTATTCAATAATTCTTTCACTTATTAACTCATATAGTAATACATTTATTTATTTGCGTATTCATTCATACTTTCATTTATTCCTTCGTCCATTTATTCATTCTTTCATTCAATCATACAGCCAGACAGTTGATCGCTTTTTGTAATTTATTTTTTATCATTTATTCCTCTACTCAGCTATGTTGCGTACTGTTCTACAAATCAAAAACAACTTCTAAGAAATCCATTGTGTTTATATTTAATGTAATTGAGCTTCACTTAAGTTTGTACTAGAATGTGTGACCTATGCACATCGTCTCTACTGCACACATTTATCTTCATTAGATTTTGTGTATCACAAATCGTTACTGCTTGTGCCATCTGAAATATAATAGATTTTCTTCATTTTATTTTGCAATTCACCAATCAACAATAAAATTAAATCATCCACACTTTATATATGTGAGTGTTATTATCCAGTAGCCTATAGTGCTAAACTGTACTGTACATTTATACTGGGTAATTGAATAAGTTACAAATAATACAGACATGGTGGACAAAAGAAGAGTTTTTGTAGTGCTTAACACATTCATTCATGCTATTATTATTATTATTATTATCATCATCATCGTCATTATTATTATTATTATTGACTACCAGATCTTTTTTTAAGGTTCCTTCCCGTGTGCCAAAACAAGTATATATACAAACATACTTTTTTGAAATTTTATATATATTATCAAAATGGTGTGTCTAATAAATTGGGGGTGGGGGGTGGAGAAATATTAAGGGACAAGTAAACTCATCACTGGCAGTGGAATAGTATTCTTTATTCCCTCTGCCAAGTGCAAGTTTTCTTGACCGCTTTTTTGCATGGGTTGGATATGTTCAGAGGGCGCCCCCAACTCATGCAATCAAGTGTACTGCTGGTAACAACACAACAAACATACATACGTTATTTGTACGTTATCGTCTAGGTGTATCTTCCTCAAACTACTAGCCGTTAAGTTTTTTGGTTCTACAATGTTTAACAATGAATTAATAAATGCTAGAATGTTACCCCAATTTTGACGAGTATTGCTGTCCCTAGTGACCTCAGCAACACCCTGTGGGACAAGTATACTTGTTGCTGGCAGCGAACGTTTTAACTGGCCAACTAAAGCCTTGGTTATAATGATTTTTTTATTCTTGTGAATTTCGTGTTATGGCATAGCAATTTATATAGAAACATGCTATTTAAGAGGCGGGGCCAGGCAGGGCCAGGCGGGGCATGTGTTTCATAATCACACTTACATGTTTTACTATGAATCGCTCAAATCTTGTGGGACGTTAGCATATCAGGACTTAGCGGAAAATCCAAAAGGTTCATTAATTGTCAAGCTGTTTGGAAATAGTACTAATACTTGATTTTGGTAGGTGTAGAAGTGCTGTTAGAAAGATTTAACATACCATTTATATGCATTAGCCAACAGTACCCCTATACTTTAATAAGAAATCTAACAATATTAAACTTGACAAGAATTATATTTTTTTGTCTTTATTCACACCAATACAAGTCAAATAAATACTATATTCAATTCTGATATTATTTCATTTCATATACAAACCATATTAAAATTATGAATATAAAACCTCAGATAAAATGTTTTTAAAAATATATTAATTTAAAAAATGATTTATTGTATCTAAAATAATGCAACTTTTATATTTTCTAGCTTTCAATCTCAAATTATTAGTTTAATGAAAATTTTCTACGTGTTTCGCTTCAGGAATTTATCCCCATTAAATAAATTCAAAGCAAGAAGGAATGTAAATTTCTAATTGCAATTTTTCATTCAATTAGAAATGTGTTTGTATTCATTGCAAATATTTGAAACATTTTGTGAATGTTGCAAATGGCATAATTTTAAATATGCAGGTTGTAAGTTTTATGGTTAATGAATCATGTGACCCTTATACACTGCCAGCGCAACTTTGGAATTATCCTAGAGTTATTCCATGGTTGTTTTTACCCTGTGGCATGCATCACCCTAGTTTTGATCATCTGTAATTCCATGTGATTAGGGTAGCAGTTAGCAGGAGATAAGTTGAATGTGAACAGTGGCATAAATGCTTATGCGTTCTCGTGCAGCGGTCCGCAGGGCCCCGACCCTTAGGTCCTCAATCTAGCACCCTGACCTAAAAGGGCTTTGTTGATACATAACATAATGTGTCTCTGACAGACATCGACTGTATATCATATTATATCCAGTGGTGAATTAAAGGGAGCCTCTAAATTTTTAAATTGTAAGTCTGAGATTGCCATTTTTCGGTTATTTAGAGGCGTAATCATAAATTTTCTTAACTCAGCTTAAACCATGGCGGGGGCTGAGGTGGTATTGACCATTTATCAGTGGAAGTCTCCCCTGGGCCCTATTAAATATTCCTGGATCTGCCACTCATATCATTTATTTTGTCGTTAAAAACATTTAAAATGCAATGACAATTGAACAACAAGCACATCTAAAATCACACAATGGAATTGGCGACTGGGACCCAAAGGGCCCCACTCTTAGAAAGCCACAGGGCCCCCGGCATCATCTTTAATCCACTGGAGTTGTATCATTACTTTTTTTCTGAGGTACCATAAATGGTAATGGAGGACTTACAGTAAGGTCAGAAGGGGTGGAACCAGTTGGTAGAGAGAGGATGTTTTGGAATGTTTCCTTACCTACTGTTGGGATCCAAGAGCTATGTACCGCCAAGAAGAAGCTTCAGAGTTTGAACCATTTTATTCCTTATCTAAATATTGTTACACATGATAGTGAATTTCTGGCAGCTGCCGAGGGGCGAGCACCCCCTTTTGTCACCCCTCAAATTCGCCTCTCAGGTTTAAATAAAGAGTTTGGGCATCTTCCCTGCAAAGTAAGGGTTATATAGGCTCAAATTGCCTTTACATGTACTATAATAAATTTTATATTAGTATTACACCAAATATTTAGCATTATGTTATGCAAATTGTTTTCTAGTGAATGTTTTTTTTGCATCACACTGCTTGAACATTGATAACAATGTCTTAAATATCTACTTAAAAAAACATGCCAAAGAGCGTAGTTTTTATTCAGTTCTTACATTTCCAAAACCAGTGTTCCCTGTCAATATATGCATGATACCATATTCACTATCGTAAGACTACCAGGATATTCTGCCAATGCGTATGGAGAAATAATGTAAATTTACATTTGTGCCACATTTTGATTAATATTCCATATGTCACATGTTGTTTGCATCATATGCTAAATTAATGTAATTTCCGCAATCCAAAATCACAAGCATTGGAGAAAAAAAGAGTTAATACCAATTTGTTTATAAAAGCAGTAATGTACAGTATTTCAGAATTGCTCACGTAAAGAGACCTAATTTTAGACGTGTGGTTACGACAACACAGTTCATTTTGGGCTAGTGCGATGGTTTTTATTGATTATAACATTACCCTCTATATTGGTTTTACTGCCTCTTCGTATGTGTTAATTTCTGTAAAATGGTTTAAATAGCTCAACAGTAGGTTTTTTTTTTTTGTTTTTTTTTTGTATGAAAACAAGTGGTTATATTTTCAACCATGTTGTTAGTTAATTTTCTAAAATATTAATGATTGGAAATACAGTGATACTGATGAAAGTAATAATAATAATAAAAGAGCATAAATTATTTACTTGTGGTTTACAACAAACCAAAAGGACCAAACATCATAAGCGTTAAATAGAATCAAAACTAAAACATTACATTTGCATACTTAATGTTGAAATTCTTATTACTGAATTAATTTATCATTGCTTATTATTATTATTATTATTATTATTATTATTATTATTATTATTATTATTATTCATCTGTATTACTGTATTTCCAACCCATTTCCAATTGTTTTTTATATTTATTGAATAACTATGATATTACAAAAGCTGTACTCTATAAGGCCCTGGTTCTTAATAGGCGGCCCATGGGCCAAATTTGACCTGCAGAGACATTAAATCTGGCCCATGTTCAAAAAATGAAATTAAAAACAAATAATTAAAAAAAAAGTAATTCATTTGATAAAATAATTTTCCCATTAAAAGTGAATACATAAACGCAACCCCTGGGCCATGTCCACTAATAACAAAGGAATGATCATGCATGTAAACATGGCTCCTATTGCATAGAAGGTGAAAATTTGCAAGTTATGTGTCTTTGAGTAGGGGCAACTCACTGAGATCTAAACAATTTTAAACCACTTGATAAACGCCAGAGGTGATTATTAATTGTAAAGTTCTAACTACATGGAAAAGCCTAGGTAGACTTGCTATAAATTGAGTAGACTCAAAATTGTAGTGGTTTTCGGTTTTACTTCACAGAAAATAGCACTAATGCACTTGCTACCTGCTAATTTCTCCCCTCAAATTTGTTTTACTTTTTTTTCGCTATATAAATTAATTATTGCCTTTTCACTTCGTTGTGGATTAGCATCAGGTAAAAATCATAGGAATGATGTTTTGACTGATGTGTTATCGTACCTAAATAATTTGGGAACGTACTGAGTGTTGATAAAACGTCAGGCAAGGCAAAACATCATTCCGTCTTGTCCTTGTGTTACTTCCTCTTATTCCTTGCGGTTACAAACGTTACACCACACAGGATGATGCAGAAGCATTATCCAATCAATTGACTTGCTCTTGATGCATTTGAAATACTGATGAAGCCTAAATAAAAGAATATAAACAAAAGATACATTTTAGAAATGTTATTTTAAAAAGGTTACTTCCTGGTTCACATTCAGGGAAAAAAAACAGGAAATATTTTTTTAACATACTTGCTCTTTTGCCTTATGAATATCACACCTATTTCCTGTCCTTTTATATCCATATTTAGCTGCATCAGCTAATATTCCAGAAAGGAGTGGCAATATTATTTCTGGTAAAGAGCAAGGAAGGGTGCAATGATTTTATTATTACTACGTATACTCTTCTACAGTAGACCTACTTTTGTGCTGATTGTGTCCTTTAGTGGATCTCTTCTACTATTATTATGCCGACATTTATTTAAAATTATGGTTGTTGGTAGCGTAACTGGCCTATTTCATCAATTTTCATGTTTGCAATACCTTGTGTTTTATAGCACAATAAAAAGTAGTTGAAGTTACCTAAACAAGTTACTTCATGACTCCGATATTATAGTATCTTTGGCTGTGAACTCATCTTAATAAAATATTGTGCCCTTTAAACAAGTTAGGAACCAGGGGTATAAATGTATTGTTTCAAATAAATAGAAATATAGAATAAGATATATAAAAAAAAAAACAGAATAAAATGTAGTGCTAGTCTATCCATATTTAGACATTAAATAAATGTACAGCTCAGTTAATGTCCATGGGTAGAAGAATTGTGGTAATATTTTTTTTTTATATTGAAATACTTTTCATGTAAATTTGTTACTGTTCCATATTTCATCCAACTTTGTATCTTAAAAAATCCATTGTGCTGTAGAGCTGGTCAGCTTATCAATTGCTGCATGATTTATAATGTCCTTATTCTCATTCCAGTGTGCTTTAAATTCAGTATGTGACTTAAAAACTGCAATAAACAGGCTTATTTATCATGTAATCACTTTGGCAAGCTTTCAACTCACTCAATTCAATTTTTTTTTTTTTTTCATTCTGTCATCTTCAGGCAAAACACCGCTGCCTTGAACAGTGATGAGGAGGATAGTGCTGAATCATCAGATGACGATGAGGATGAGAGCCAAACAGTGTCCGATGGAACCACAAGTCAGGATACAGAGAGGTAATTTAATCTTTTGATGGATTTCGTCTGTACTCACAGCAATTTAATTTAGTAGAAATAGGTCCTTGTCTTCTACCTTTATGATGTATTGTTAAATTACCTGCAAATTGCCTATTAATTTTAGATTTTAGTAGATGACAGTACTGATGGAACTTAGGTAATTGCTTCATTAGCATATTTCATGGGCATCCAACTAGATGTCTACTAATAATCATAGAGTACTTTAGTCGCTAGGTGCCATTTGATACAACATCGTTACTAAGCAACTACTTATGGAACGGTTATTATGACTGAGCATCAACAGGTTATCATAGCTTCTTTAAATGGGTGTGTCTGAGGCTAATAATTCCCACTCAAAACCTATTAAAAAAAAACACAATAATTTAGCTATCCTATATAACTGAAGTATTTAATTGTCAATATAAATGTACAATGCAAAAAAATGCAATGTTGTAATGTTGTTCTCAATCAGAAATATATTTAAAAGGCTTTACACCAGTGGTTAAGCTGCAAAGGCACTCATTCGTATCAATTACTTGGGTAGTGTTGCTCGGTAGCAAAGAAGTGTCACATGATGTTTGTGACATCAGCATTGTCAAACTCCAGCCAAGTTATCTATTAAAAGTCAGCTCTTTTAGAGATCTATACGTCTATTTAGTACAAATTTTCTCAATATATAATTTATGCCTTTGTTGTAGACAGTCAGCTATAAACGCGCTGTTTTTATGTATTCAATTTGAAGAAACTTGAAATTTAAGAAAATGCTTACATGATAATTGCTATCCTCCTGGTAAGCGACATTTGGCTGACATTGTATGTGATACACCATTGCTGGTGGTCTGTGCAATATTGGAAAAAGAAGAAGATTTACTATTTCTTTTTCAGTCAAGTGTCATCTTTGGGAGCAGTTTAGCTCAGTCGGCTAAGCTGGTGGTAGCCACTGTGTGTGCGCTGAACCGTGGAGATCTCTAGGTCCCTGGTTCAATTTCCATCGCTGCCTCTCCTTGTGTTTCAGCTAGAGGGCTGAAATACAAGTTACAATAGTGCACCGTCTTTCGGTTGAGACGTTTAAGCCGTTGGTCCCGTGTGCATCGGAAAAGAGTAAGGGATTGTCTCCCGGTATACTGTCCCATCACCACCAGAAGGACCCCACTGGAAATATGTCCTCTTCTAGACTTTCGTGGGCTATCCTTGGTGTTTACACCGAATAAATCCAATCCAATCCAATCTTGCACCACCTTTACTTGTTATTTGGGAAAAGAGATCTACAGGTTGTAAATTTGAGGAACCAGTAATTAATTTAAGCTTGAATTATGTATATTTTAAAAAATATAAACCTATTGTGAAAAAAAAACTATGCTAATAAACAATAGCTGGATGTTATAATCGAATATTGGCTCATTATGGTGTTTTTGTTTTCTACTTTCTTTTGGAAATTTACAGTGGGATCAAGAATTCTAGTAAAATTTTGAGGATAGTGAACAAAATAGCCAGCTCCAAGTACTTCCAGAATGCCACCCAGTACAAGTATGTGAAGAAGGCTTTTGATGAGGTGTCGAGCACCCCGATCCTACTCAGAGTTGAGGTGAAAAACCTGACAGGCACCCTAGCTCTCAATATTCCCCCACCACCAACAAACAGACTATGGTAAGTAGTATTGTGGATCATAGATGCATGCAGTGTTTTTAAATAAAGTAAGTGCCATATTAACAGTGGCGAACCTGGGGGTGACCTCCAGAAAACATAGTTTGCGACCCCAGTTTTCCCCCTGCCCCCGACTGAAAATATCCAAAGGAAAAAAATAACGCTAAAGTATTTAAAAATCACCTCATGTCAACCTATTTTGCCACCTAGCACCCCTCCCCTGCCCCAACTCTACAGTGGCGTATCTAGGGGTGCGCGGGAAGACAATCCCCCAAGATTACTCGTGCCCCCAGTCGGCCTTCCCCCCACCCAAAATAATCAAAATAAAGTAGTTAAAAGTCACCTAAAATCACCTTATTTTGCGAATTAGCGCCCTCAACTGATCATCAAGCACCCACTTCACTTTTGCGCCCCATCAGCACCCCCATTTCAGGACTTCTAGGTACGTCACTGCAACTCCATCAGCCTCTCCCCTTTTCAAGACTCCTTGATATGCAACAGCATATTAAATGCAAAGATAAGAAGAGAAAGGATAATTGAATGGCATATTTAACCTCAGTATTCCTTCTACTACCGACAAGACAGACTATTGCTGGTAAATGAGTTTTTTGGATTGTAACGAGCAGGGATTATTTGGTTTTCTAAGAATGAATACATAAATGAATGAATAAATATTTATTATTTTTGCAGGTATGGATTCAGAGGGAAACCTAATTTATGGCTGTCTGCAAAACCAAAGCTAGGAGAACGTCAAGTTACCATCACGCACATTACAGAATTCATTGAGAAAAAGTTGGAATTAGAATTTCAGGTCGGTGAAATTGATTTATAAATCATTGCTATCATCATTGCCCTCTTCTTTTCCCACTTCTTTGCTTCTTTTCTTTAGTGTTTGTGTGAGTGTGTGTGTGGCTGTCACGCTATATATAAGTATACTTGATTCGTGACCCGAAGCCTAATTATATATTCTCTTTAATATCATCTGCCGAATCTTTCTTAAATTAAGTATTTATTGTATTTTCAAACTTAATTTCAGAAAATCTTTGTGCTTCCCAACATGGATGACCTTGTTATTCCAATCATGCAAGGTGAGATAGAAACCAATCGATTCTGATTGGTTAAAAGCAAATTGAACCTGAAGCTGATTAAATCTGATTGGAAAGAAGTTGACTGAATCTGATTGGCCAGAAGCTGAGTAAATCTCATTGGCCAGAAGCTGCCTGAATCCGATTGGCCAGAAGCTGAGTAAATCTGATTAGTTGCTGCATTCATGTGATCATGACATTCCAGTGAGCTAGTGAACAGTGAAAACACTGTGGATATTATATATTATATTTTATTTCCCAGTTGGTCTAAATCTTAAATATTTGTTTTCCATCAGTTGTTCAAAGAGAGTACATGTTTTTACATAGTCGTTAACAGACCAAAGGAGCATTTATTTCGGCTTTATTTGTTGGAGGATTTTGTTTATCTGTGGAAAGAATTAAATGTTTTTATTTGTTCCTGTCTCTTATACACATCTAGATGTGTATAAGAGACCGGTGTCGCTCGGTAGCAAAGAAGTGTCATAGATGTGTATAAGAGACAGGTCATGACTAACACGGTATTGCGTTGCAACTGAAAAGTGCACCACAAACATGTTTTCTGAACGCCGACGTGTTAAAACGCACATTTTTGGAACGCATTCCTGACCGTGTTTGTGTTTCTTGGCCTGTTTCTGCTGGGAAAAAAACACATTTTTTAATAGCTGTTTAAGAACACATGTTTTTTTGCTCAGCAAAAACAGGCTCTATAAGATTATTGGTACTTGCACCTGCGTTCTTGATAATGCTCTGTCTACAATCTAACAATTAGCTGTGAATTCTTCCATAAATAGGCATGATGATGTTACATCACACACACACACACACACACATATGGATACATCACAGGCCCTGTTTGACACATGCAACTTTATCGTATAGACAAAATTTTAACAACTACATAGAAGCCCTGGTACAGATTCATGACCAAAAAAAAGTGTCTCCCTAATAGAGTTGTACCCTGAATATTGACTGTAGTGTTAAACAATATATTTTCCCTTACGTTTTCCTCGTGTGTCTTCTTTTTTGTGTTTCCCAAAGGCCGAATTGTAGTTGGCCAACTGTTGAGATATTTTTGCAGTTGCATATTGAACTTGGTACAGAAATCGTTGCCACCTTTAGTGGAACATCTTGTAAATTGAGGCAATTTGTAGATAAAATTAAACAATGAGTGTCTGTGCAGACTTCCTTGCCATTTGTGGGTCACGGGAATATCCTGGCAATTAGCACATCCCCCGCACTCGCACAATCAAGCAAAAATCTCCAGCAAACTTCCCAATCTCCGACAAATGCAGAATGTTTGCATGTTTTTAAAACAGTAATATTGTCTCCTGTACTAATCAGCTGCCAATGGGTATCTTCATGAATAACAAAATACAGTAAGTCAATAAGATTTGTTAAGAAATTATTTATCCAGTATATATGTCCACATTACCGTAAAACCTCGAATAGAAATCCAATGGGCCCATCTCGAATTGAAGCCCTGTCTTTAATTTGCAAAAGTAGCCTCGAAAAGGAGCTCATCACGAAAAGAAACATCTGGGCTTCTTTTCAAGATAGCATGGGCTTTTTTTCGAGATTGTACATTACATACACTCACTGTATATGAATTTCAATAAACAAAGTAAATTAAAAAACATGCTTGGTTTATACACTAGTTTAGGTGATTTAATGCCGGTTAATACACTCCATGATACATATTGATATTACAGTGGCTCTATTTATTGTTATATAGAAGAAATTCCCATATTTCACAGCATTCATTTTGAAAAGAAGTCCCCCTCTTTTCTCTGCAAAAGTAACCTCGAAAAGAAGGCCATCTCGAAAAAAAAAACCCATCTTGAGAAGAAGCCTATACAAAGTTCGCAAAAAAAAAAAAAAAAAGAAGCCCCGGGCTTCAATTCGAGGTTTTACAGTACAGTATGTGATTTGTTGCTTTTTGATAGAGGGCAGTGTTTATAATATGAAGATTACCAAATGGATTCTAGTAAAAGAAATGCAATTGTGTTTGCCTTTAAGTACTTTGTAAGAATTATGCATGTTTTGTTGTGCCTTTTCAATCTCTGTTGTTGCAGCGCCCTCAGGAGTAGATATTTGACAAATACCTCTTGTCAAGAAAGTTAGCCTGTTGTTTTCATTATTGATGTCATTTGAATTGCTAATTACTTGTTATTTTCTTATTTCAAATTCATTTAAAGTAAACCAAATAATTTTCCATCAATTTGTTTTAAAAATGTAATTTTGACAAATATGTTTGTTATGCACTATGCATATTTGCATATGATTTGAATATATTTGAATAATAATGGTTTTGTTAATGCTCTGTTTAATTATTGCAAGATTTTTTGTCATGGTTTAGCTAATGTTGTTATTGCAAACCTAAATTTTAATTGTTATATTGTCAAGTTTGAGGAGAAATCTTTGTTATGCACTAAATGCACTTTTAATTATTCCATTTATTTAAAAAAATGTTTACACATCAGCAATTGACTTGCCAGTTACAGTGTGCAAGTCAGTGGTGAAGCCCCCCCCCCCCACCTTAAATTTTTCAAAAATTATTTTTAAAATGGAGAAAAAATAGGTTATTCAAGTCCGAGAGTGCCTTTTCCAGCCATCTGGAGGTGCCATAACCATAATTTTCCTTACATCAGGCCCAACCATGGTGGTGCTGAGGTCAAAGTACCTCCATTGATGCGCCCTCTACTTGGAATTCCTGGATCCGCCACTGGGAGTGATAGTCTGAAAACTAGTGATGTTTACATTTACGCAATGAACTTGGGGTGGCTTGCAAACAGCTTTATTGTTGGAATAAAACAGGGCAAGAAATAGGCCCGCAATTGGAATTTTGTGCATTATCAGTTTGGCAAAGCCAGCTTAAGATTTACACGTAATTGTAAACATGACCCGAGGCTCATTTTGAGGCTTAAGGCGGGCACACACTGCACTGACAGCATGAAGGGATATGTCACAATAAATGGCATTTCGCTCGGTCTGCCATCAACTATCGGCAGACAGTGTCATGTTGTCATGCTCTCGCTCGCAAAGAGTGGAGTTTGGGTTTATTGGCCAACAGTCGTATGATGTATTGTATGCCCAACTTTTGGGGTGCAAAGCTACTTTTAGTCGTGAGATAAAAAAATATTGTTTTTACAAGATTTGAAACCAGGACCCTAGAATTGTAAGTCAAGTATCTTAACCACACTTCCATTCCTGTTTTTCATCAGAAAAATTGCCATGAAGAGAATAATATTTTATGTGCTGTATAAATATTACATATGATTATTTTGTTGAGGTGTAGCTTAGCTCATATTTTGTTAAATGAATATGCAAACTTTATGCTAATATAAAAATGCTTTCAACATTGATTTTTTTCTAATCACATTATAATACATATACAAATAAATATTTAGCTTATCTTTTGATGTAACTGGATGCATGCCGATATTTGTGCAATATAAATAAAATGGTATAATTATATTTTAAATTCTACTGACGGTTCCATACCCCAAAATTATATAAGGGTAGTTGAGGCATTCATGTCTTGATTAGTTTTTAGTTGGACTTCAGGTGATAACGAAGGTTCCTAGAAATGTAGGGAAAACTTTTATTTTACATCGCCACCTTCATAATGTAACCTCTGATATGCTAACGTTTAAGCTGCCTGTTGTCTGTATTAAAGGTTGCACAGTGGATATTTTGTGATAATTGAAAAATGTGTTCGAGTTTTCATTTTAATCAATTAGTTCCCTGGTTCTTTTTCAGATCTTCCCTTTATACTCTAGGAGCCGAGTTAAGTATCGTGTGCACTTTCACGTGCATTCAGTCTCTTCAAAAACAGGTGTATATGGGTGCATGGTTAAAATAAGTTTGGTCACGCGCGAAAGGTCCACCATTTTGAATTTAAATATGGTTATGTCATGTACCATTAGAAAGGTAATTATACACTGGTCACTTTTCTTCATTACACCTATACCTAAAAATTTATAATTACGGAGTTATTTGCCATTAAAAAATGTCACATGGCCAAATGAGGTCAAAATTAGACAAGAGTATATATTACCCTGTGTGTAATAAACACTGAGAAACAGGGTTTTAAATACAATGTATAATGAAGACAAGCATTTTTTTATAAACATTTATTTACGATGACGTAGGACCTCATGCTAGGCCTTCTGAACTACGGGAATACCCGATAGGTAACATGGGAACGGGCATGGAAGCGCTACGCCACTATCTTTTTAAAAGCACTGCTGCGCTCATTCAAGCACTTACGATAACCATGATTTTGCTATCAATGTTGAGAAATGCTCCATATTTACAGAGTGGTGTTAACACGTTGACTGCCAGACCTTTTTTTACGGTTCTTTCCCGTGTGCCAAAACAAGTTAACATGTACAAACATACTTTTTTGAAATTTTATCTAGTCATATATCATCAAAATGATGTGTCTAATAAATTGGCGGGAAAATATTAGGGGGCGAGTATACTCGTCGATGGCACTGTGATAGAACTTTTTGCTGACTATGCCAAGTGCGAGTTATCTCGTCCTCTTTTTGCATGGGTTGGTATATGTTCAAAGGGCACCCCCACTTGTACCGCTCGAGTGTACTACCGGCAACATAACACAACAAACATACATATGTCATTTGTACATTATCGTCTAGGTGTATCTTCCCCGAACTACCAGCCATTGAGTCTGTGGTCGTACATTGTATAATAAAGAAGTTATAAACGCTAGAATGTTCCCCCATTTTTGACGAGTATACTCGTTCCTGGCGCACTCAGCAACACCCTGTGGGCGAGTATACTCGTCGCTGGCAGCCAACGTGTTAAAACAATCTTTTATTCAAATATTTTCTAGGCCGGGAGTCTTGCGGTGCACAGCATAGTAAGAGAGCCAGAGAGTTAACTTATTTACAAAATAGTACTGCGTCTAACATAGTTCAAAATGTTTACATTTATTTATCTCAACAAATATGTCATGACAAAGAAGGAATTATACACATTTGATTCTGATATAGAAACCAGAAAAAATGAAGTAATATATTGGACACCACTCACTCAATCTTCAACCACTTACTTATAAAAATTGGAACGTTATAAATACTGCATCAATATTTAAAGATACTGCACATTGATTACTAAAATTTTAAAAGTAATTTTCCCAAACTGTTACCTGAATCTCAATTTGAATGCAGATCTGAGGCAACTAACTGCCTCCCTTGTCAGATTCTACATTAAGCCCTGTCTATACAATCTTATTTTTATTTGACAAAAACATGACATGCCTCAATATGGTCATGAGTATATATGGGCATACACCACTTCTTTTTAAATATATAATCTAGACTGAGCTTCAGGCAGTTGTTTTCACTACTTTTCAAAAATCGCACTATTTCTAGCACATTACAAATCCTGACATTGAAGGATCATGAAATTGTACAGCTGAAGTTAACCAAATAATTTAAATTTATGTATGACCCCAGGGTAGTGCTATTCACCAAATATTGTACCATACTGTATTACAGACACATGGATATAGTTTTTGCAAACAAAAATGTCTTTGATCTCACCTCAATTTAAAAAAAAATGTTTACAATAACAGTATTAAAAAGTATTATTAACTTAACAATGCTGAACATACACTTCCAAAGGAAGATTAGTCAGACATCTGATAAAATCAAGAGAATTGAAAAATGCTTGATATATTTTGAACAAGCAGACCTCCAAGTTTGCTTAAACATGGCCTGCTATAGCTTTGTCCAATCAAATTTTATTTGACAAAAATCTTGTATGCCAATAAAATCATGGTGTGCCTATATATGATCATGGTGTGATGTCATCATGACCATATTTAGGCATGACACGTTTTTTTTGTCAAATAAAATTTGATAGCCTGGACATTGCTGAAGTCTGAGAGATAAAAATGTGATAGCAAGAGAGCTCTGATTGCAATTTTTTTCAGCGCGAGGAGCTTGAGCTTGATCTGCTGTATCGTCGTCTTCTGTTTACTGGAGAACGTGAACGTGATCTTGATCGTCTGCGAGGTGACCGACGTTTTGGCGGTGACCTAGAAATGAAAAAAAAAATATGACAACGAATACAGATTTAATAGTTTTGATAACTCATTAATTGTGTCAGACGCGTCTAAAATTTTCAGAATTTATGGACGGTACTGTATAGAGAAAAAGATACACTGGTGTTTTTTTTTTTTTGTTAGAGCAGTCTGGTTAGCTTTATATTCTTGATTATAATAATAAATTAAACATAAAACTGCTAATATCATATGCTACAGTAAACACCACAATCAATGTTTAATGTTAAGCCTAGCCATGTAAAATTGAATGGCAGCTGGAAATAATGACTTTAGCATTTATTTGTGTAACATTAACCTTTAGATTTTATATCATGCATTTCACATGTCTGGAATCTTTACAATTATTTTTATAATTAATAGTAGTACTCTGCAGGGGCAGATTCCCCCCACCTTTTAGGAGGTTAAAAAAAGAGAGAAAAAATAAAAAAAATGATAGCCCAGAATGCCTCAAATGTTATGTTCAGGCGTCTAGAACACAAAAATTTTGGACCCCCTAGGACAGTGTTGTCTCGGCCCAACTTTCGCGCCCCCCCCCCCCACCTTTTGGACATTTCTGGATCTGCCATTACCTTCTTCTTCTTGGTGGGGACCACCTCCTTCTGGCAGGGAACCTCCTTGGTGGACTCCTCCTCTGCATTGGGGGTCTTGCTCTAGGTTGAAGTACAAATGCAGCAGTAACCTCTTGTCCGTCAATTTGACCTTTTGCCGCAAAGATAAAATTATAATTGACTAAGATTGAAATATAGTACAGTATAACTTCTACTCTTTTTCTGTCATTTATTTATAAATACTAGTAAGAGATGATAATTGCAATAAAGGATATGATAATAATAATAATAATAATAATAATAATAATAATAATAATAATAATAGCAGTAATAGTAATTAGTTATATCTCAAAGTAATATTTAGGTCTATTGTACATGCTTCCCTTTTTAAATGTCTTAAACCTCATCTTGAATTGTATATTTTTATATTTCTTGATTGTATTTTCATCTTGCTGATGTGTTTGAAATAAAAAATAAAAAAATAAAAATTGATTGATTTGAATAGATTTACTTATTTATAACAGATTAGTAGTAGCAGGTTCCCTTGGATATTGTTGCTGTTCCAACAAACCACAAAACAACAAGCATAAAATTATGGGTTGCTAAGTTTGATTGACATTTCAGTTCATTCCAGGTTTCCTCAAAAGGCTTGTAAGTTTTTCTTTATTATCATAAAACCAGCTTAAGTTACGAATTCAGAAATCATCTTTACCTCCGTCCATATGCTTCATAGCTTTGTCTGCGTCCACACCATTCTCAAAGTCTACATACGCAAATCCCTTACCAAACGATCCATGCAGCCTATCTGGGGGGAATTCAACACTTTTTACTGTTCCATACATGGAGAATATTTCAATTAGGTGGTCTCTATTGACATTCCTTGTGAGCCGTCCAATGTGGATCCGTGTCGGTTTTGGAGATGGGGTTCTCTTGCGCTTCTTCGGTGACTTTGACCTTGACCTTTAAGCAAGAAACCAGATAATAATTACATCACATGAAAATTGTTCTGCATTGCATTGAGATGTTGGTTAAGCTTTACTGACACTAACTATCATTTAATCTGTCCATCACAAAAATGGAAATTTACAAAATATATAAAACATACAATAAACCAGTAAACAACAGTTTTAGGTATGTCAATTTTATGAATGGTCTTGATGATGTCATCCTCGCACCGTCAGCCTATCGGCGTTCACTGACAGAGAAAAGCTAGGCCTAGTTAGTAAAAACCGACACCTTATCTAGTTTGCAAATTGTTCAATTTACGGATACACCTTGGTACCTAGGAGTACGTAAAATAGACGGCTTACTATACCACAATAAAATGCAGGGACTATTG